TCATAACCCAAGCCTGACCCCAGATGTACAGTATCTTCCCTCCTAACTTGTTATATTTAATTTTAAACATTAACTTTAATATAATTTCACCTTCGGTATCTGTCCTTAGCATGCCTATGGAATGAGAGCATTTGGCTTTATATCCTCCTTCCTGCTTTTATTATATTATATATAGGGGTGTGTGAGAGTGCGCCCACTGAAAACTCACCCGTTGCCATCAAAACCTTCCAATGCCTGAGCAAACATTCTCAAGGTAGGAAAAAGAGGAAGCCAGAACAATGAGCCCAGATCACCCTCAAAGAACCCTTTGGAGCATGCAACTACTCCCCTGAGTAAAGGCTGAAGGATCTGGTGTGCCCATGCACACACAATATGTAAAGCACCTGGGTCTATTTTCCACATTAAAAGGCACTTTATGAATTTAAGATTTAAACGATTACTGATTATTTGTGTATTACACAGCCACAGATGCACATTCTCAAACTTGTGCTGATGTTGCTCAGTGCGGATGTTCTCCTTCAGAATTAGACGTGCTAAGCAAAGCTGAATGCTCGGTCAGCTACCAGTTCTAAGGTGGAAGAACAATATTCAAATTTCATCTGGTTGCTAGGAACCAAATCAAGATATTATTTTATATTTTTTAGAGTCATAGATCCTCTTCTCCCTTCCCCCTGTTCTATAGGCATGAGGGATGAGTTTTCCAGCACAGAGCCTCTGCTTTTATATCTGACATATGTATTCCATTCTGGGATCCCTACAGTGATGCTGCCCTGGCTGCATTCCCAGGATCCCATGCTGCAGTATCTGGGTATGTTCTCTTCCTCCTCTCACTGTCCCCCGAAGAATCTTTGGCCAGCGTGACTTTGTTGGCTGCGGAAACTCGAATGCTTCCATGAAATGCGAGTGACAAGCCACCATTAAATTCTAGTGTCTTGGCTCTGCTTCACTGAAGAATAGGATCTGTGTTTGGGTTACTATGATGCCTTTACAATGTTACATTATGCACCACTCAGTTGAAGGGAATAAAAATTTCCATGAAGTTTTTATCCCTCATTGGTTAGCAACATTGCTCTGCCCACTGCCTGAACGCTGGCAAACCCTGCAGAGGCCATGATAAATAGTGAGGTCACGGCCAAATTTAATAAGGTCTTGCATTCTCTCTGAAATGCCACCAGAGAGCAGACAAAAGCGTGTGTTTGCTGAGCTCATCAGGGAAAGCCGCGTGTTTGCACAGAGTACTTGGTATGCAGATGGCGTGCCTGGCTGCCTTTGGAAACTGGTGCAGAGCTGAAAGCAATTGGAAGGAGCAGAGGGGCAGAGCTCACCAGGAAAAGGCACAGGGGACAAGCTCCACAGGAGGCCACTAGGTCAACATGCCACCTCATCATCCTGCTTTGAGTCTTTTTTTAACTCAGACTCTTGCTGCCTCTGCTGTGTGAGGGGAGGTGAGTCTGCACAATCGCAAGGGGAGAGGAGACCTCTGTGAGACAATCTGTCTCTATTAAGACATGATCCACGCAGAAAAAGTTTGAGCACTCCTGGTTTATTTCATTATTAGGCATTGGACTGGGCTTGGCTATAATGCTGTGTATGTCTGGTCTGGGACAATGAGACTTTCCCTTTTGCGATGACCAAGATTCTTTCTGGAGGACCCTGCTGGGTTTCAACAACGGCATGGAACAGCCCCATCCCCTCAGGAAGCAGTGATGATAGAAAGTTCTCACCATGTCTTAGCACCAGCTACTAGTGCCACCTAGTGACTCTTCTTTGTAACTGGTCAATATGTGAAGCTCCTACAGTTCAGCACCATTACATCTGAATTGAGAATGACTAACGCACAAGCTTTGGGCATAACAATTCAATTAACATTTCTGCAGTGCTTCTGAAGACTTGTTTAATTCACAAAAAACACTTGCACTCTTGAATTATACAGATGAAGGTTATAACACATTGTTATTTACTGCAATCAATATTGAAAAACAAGGCACAATGAATCCTAAATACAATAATCTGAACATTAAGACAATATTGTGTATGCTAAACAGCCAAGCAACATATTTAATGGGATTTACCAGCATTTTAAGAACTGTTATGCCACTGTTAAGTTACCAATTATGACAGGTATATGGACTGAAAATTAATTCAATAAAATAGCTAACGTATTGAATTAAAATCAAAGGCAAGGTACAGCTGATTGAGCAGTAAAAGCGCATGAGGTTTGGGGGGAAAAAAATCATGATTTTACAGTTTTCCCCATTTTTCCACAAAAGGCAAAGTTGATTTTTTATCACCCTGTGAAAATGGTAAAATTTTGTTTAGTGTCAAATGTGGGAAAACTGATAATGTTGGAGTGGAGCAAAGCTGTGGTGGAACACTGACTTTAAGGTGTGTAGGCTATAATCAAAGGTATGTCTATGAGGCACAGAAAGCTGTCGTCTGCCCGTGTCAGCCTCAACATTAATATTATAGTGGGAAAGGGCTCACTACACTAGTGGGGTGATCATAGGAGAGACTCAATTGGGAACTTGGTAAACTGAGAGAAATTGATCTGCCATCCAGTGTACTCCTACCTGTGCTGGACTTCAGTCGATTCTCAGCAAGCTCAGAAATTGCTCCTGTTGTAATGGTCTTCTTCAGTCTGGAGACCCCGGAGGCTGCTGTCACCCCTGGCTTTGTTAACATGTCATCACTGCTAGCTCTTTTTAGCTGCAAGAAAGAGAGATCTTGTGAGCAACGAGAAAAATGAGAGATCTGGTATGCCCAGGAGCTAGATGATTTTACAGACATACAAGTTGAAAGAAAAGTGCTGACACACTTGGAGAAGGGAGTATTTCAGGAAAAGGAAACCCACTGAAATTATTGCTTGGGAACAGTAATCCGGAGTCATTTCAGAACATTCAGAAGAGGGGAATATCCTTCTCCCATATATTAGAGGGATTTTCCCAGCCTGGCACCAAGGAGGTCACTGCAATGCAAGGACATATTTTCCTTTGGGCCAAGACCCAGGACAACATCCCGCAGGCTGAGAAAGAAATGAGACTGATGAAATTTGACTCAGATACCAGGCCTAATGGACACCACTGGCTACTCCCTGATCCCCTGGTGCAGCAGGCCCAGTGCATTCATACATGTGCTTGAAATTTTATCTACTAGGTGGTATTATTAGTACCAAATTCAACAGCCTTCCACGGTGGGGAAAAGCATTTTTGTATTAATTCCTGCCTTTCAGTGAAGTGGACCAAGAGGCAATGCAGATTTGATGATGCAGGCTATATAGTGGGGTGTGAAGGAGGGAGAACGAAATAAGCAATGACTGAGGGCATGGGATGAAAAATCCCCAGAGTCCCATTCAGAAGCTCCTGATCATCAGTCACGGCACTGGAGACTTCTCCCTACGTCCTGGTTGGAGTTGCACTTGTTCAAGCACCTAGGCTTCTGAACATAAAGAAAACAAGCAGCTGAGGAAACTGAGGCACAAAACCGTCAAGGAACAATATAAAATAACTGGCATCTCAGTGCACCCCTATGCCACAAAAGGTACTAGGCCTTGCAAGAATTGCTGCTTTCTATTTCTGTTTCAGTTGAGACCATTTTACAAGGCCCTACTCTGCTCCAGCAGTGACCTCAGATCCTGACCTGGGAGGGTCAGGCATTTCTAATGGAGAGGCTGTCTGCTCATTCCCATCTCTCTGCCAAGCAAGAACTGATGAACTTAGCTGCATCATAAACTCTGCTTTGTGATATGAACAACAAGCCCACTAGGGATTGAGCCAAGATCCCAAATTCATTTAGCTGAGGACTGCAGGCTGCTTCATCAAAAGGAAAGAGCAGAGAACACAGAGGCCACTATCACAGTTACCAGAGGAAATCCTTTATCTTAAGTCTGGCATCACTTCAGCTGTTTAGACTTTCAGGGGCTTCATTTATTGAACAGCAGTGAATAAAGCTAACCCAGGACAGTTTGGTAGGTGCTGGTGCTAGCATCACTACTGGAAGGTGCAGGATTTGATTATCAGTGTGAAAATGGAAGAATGTATCCAAGAAAGGGCATTTCGCTCTTCAGATTGCCAGAGGGAATCATTCTCAGCACAGAAATGCATCAGCTCTCAGGTTTCGACAAAGAAGCTGCAGAAACCTCCAGATTATTATCCATACAGCCTCACTGATGTGGTCACAAACTTGGAAGAAGACAAGATCCCTGCCCCAAGGTGTGTTCTAAGCAGGTACTTAAATGGAAGTGTGGTTGATGCACAGGAACTGGAAGCCTTGGTGTCCTGTAAAAAGCATAGCTAAGGGAGCCTGAAGGGGGACCTTCTGGAAGAAGCAGATAATTGGTACCCAAGATGCTCAGGCAATTCAGGACCCACTAAACTGAACTAGTTACAGCTGCTCCCCAGGGGATATGTCTAGTGTGACTGCAGATTTGTCCCCTCCCAGACATTCAAGAAAGCACTTGGAACATGCAGGATGTGGGAGGGATTTGCGATCTCAGGACAAGTGATCTAGTTACAAGCCTGAAACCTAATGGTATATGTGGAGCTGCTGCATCATATTTGCTCAGGCATTAAAAAAAACCCCACACACATACACTAGAATAAAGTTTCACGAAGTATTAAACAAAAACTTATGAATAAGTCTCTACTAATACAGTGACTCTGTAAACAAATTGTGTTCAGTAATAGCTGAACATTTTTTCTGAGAGAGGAAATGCTAGGCAGGACAGCAAATTTATGTCCGCAGGACTTCCAATTGGACAACCCACCCAAAGCTGACAGAAAGGATCTTGCTTTAATGTGGCAATCCAAGATTGGCACTGCTAACAATGCAGCATCTCCTCTTCCAGTACTGCACTGCCATGTCAGCACTGGTGATGAGCCAAAGTCCTGGTGTGACATTTGAACCAGGACCTCCTGCCACATGGCAAGGTGCCAGCCTGACCTACTACAGGGCACTAGACACAGACATACAAGAGATAGTCAAGCATATATTTTAATGTAGTTTTTATTGGTTGAATTTCCACTAGCCAGCTCACCACTATGTATGTTAATATTCCAAAATCTAACACTAGCTGCTAACACCCAGAGTTTACTCAGTAAACTTTACTGCACCTGAAAAAGCAAGACTGATTTTTTTTCTGGTAATCCAAGTTCATTCTAGAGGCGTATTCAGGAAATTCATGCAAATCTGAAAGACCAAAAAACATATGCTTCACAAGGAAACCATTGAAATGATGTTGGCCTAGACCAACATAAGGAGGAGTCCATCTCAGAACCCTCGCCAATTGCGTTTCCCTTTTTGTGCACTTCCACAGCTCAGATTAACTAACGAGTAACCTTCAAGAGAGAGAAGCCTTTTGAGAATCTTAAAAAACCAAGGCACTGTAGCATCTCTCTCTAGACTAGAATGAGATATTGGTGGATAGAAAAGAGATGAGAAGGGAGATTATACTGCAAACACATGCCATGGTTAGGGGGTTCCTGAATTGTAATTTTTTAAAGCAAGATCAAATCTCTCTCAGCTCCAATTTTCTTCTCTCTTTCATCTCTTCATCTGACTCAGTCTGTGGTTTCCCAGACTCTGGGAGCATGTGAGCTTTGATAGCCAGAGCGTTGATCTACTGCAGGAAACCAGACATCTGAAGTTTTGCGTTTTGGCAGGGCCTTTGCCAGTTCATTCCTGAGAGCAAGACAGAGCAATCTGACTTTCTGACCTCTGGAGAAGTCTCCATCCATTTTCTCTACAGCAGTTTTTACCAAGTTAACCACTTTTCATGGTGCCAGGTGCACCTCACTGCCCAGTCTGTCTTTCCACAGCCCCTTGCTAACTCTTCCATTAGATCAGCTTTTGTTTGTACTGTAGTTGCTCAGCAGCTTAGAGATCATGGAGGCAGCTAGAAAGAAAACACCATGTTCTTTAAAAGATGTACAATTAAACATATCAGGTTCCCTTGCTTTCCTGCCCCCACATACCTCTACAACACTCGCTCAGAAGTGCCAGCAGAGCACCACACTTTAGAGGAAGGACCTTATAATGAAAAAAGATTGACTGGAGCCCGGGGCTGAAAGTGTCTCATTTCGGAGATGCTTAGAGTTGTGGGAGTCTGTAAAGTGGGTATAATATATGGACCCATTGCACTGGAGGCTGCAAGGGTTAATAAGTGTTTGTAAGGCTCTTTGAACATTAACAATATGTAGTATTCTACAGAGCTAATCAACTCTTATTGTTGAAAACAAAGTCTCTGTTCCCAAGTTCCTATTCTTTTTTCTATACTTGGACCATATTGCTCTCTTTGTTCAGGGTCTGCCAGAACACAGATGCAGCACAATCCCAGGTTTGGAATTTGCAATAAAATGGAACATTATTTTCCATGTGCATTTCTGGTCTTATTAAAATATATATATAAAAAGAGGAGTATGATGAAATGTAAAAGTTCTATCACAAACAATATTTTTGCTATGTACCTTGCCTTTTCAAAGGGGGGGGAAAAACCCCACAGATTATAGGACACAAGATTATCTCATTACCCTTAAAAAAAACAAACAAACAAA